TAGTTTTATAGTTTTATATTGTAATGTAGTTTAATACTTAAGGCGAGGGTCACTTGTTTATAAGTGTAAGCACTTTTTCGTGTTACCCTCTTTAAACTATAAAGTCTAGTTTTATAGTTTTATATTGTAATGTAGTTTAATACTTAAGGCGAGGGTCACTCGTTTATAAGTGTAAGCACTTTTTCTTGTTACTCTCTTTAAATAAAGTCTTTACTTACTCACTTACGTACTCCATGATAAATTCGATTTTTGCGGAGGGAGGAAAACCGGAGAAAATCCCTCGAAGCACAGTAGAGAATCAACAAGCAACCTTATTCACATACAATGGTGAGTCTGGGGGTTAAACCAACTACACAGCGCCCACAACCCAACTGCACTGAAAAAAGTTAGCTACTTAAATAATACAAAGTGTAAATAAATGTTGGACGTATATATAGGCTGTTTGTGGTCTCGAAGCGTGCTCGTCGCAGTAAAGCGAGAATCAATTTCTACACTTTGATATTTTATAAGTCTTTAATGAAATGCGGCACGAACCGCTACAGCGGACACCCTTGGGACCRTCACTTGGTGTCCGTGATAACGAACTCTTTGTCAGTACTTTTGCAGGGGAATTTGCTCCTCATGTCCGTAATAGTGAGGTGTCCATAATATCGGAGTGTCCGCAAGGCGAGAGTTGGGTATATATATCGACCCCTTTTAACTGGATTATATAGAAGCTCATTTGGAAACGTTCTCCGTGAACTCGTCTCGACCACGAGTGACTTGGGTTAGGCACCTAATGCCAACCTCGTCCCCAGGGCCATCTCACTCCAAATGCATTGCGAAAGTGGAGAACCGCATATGCTAATAAATGATTTTCTGGTCAAAACGAAATTTCYTCTACGGCAATAACGAAAAAATAATGAATGTAGTAGAAAATACTTGGTGTCAACATCATTCAATACTGTATCTGTGATGTCTATGTCGTAATATTTATTTATAATTGGGCTTTGGAAAAGTGGTAATTTACATTTGCAAGTCACGTAGCAGAGAGATGTTTAAAATCGCTACATTTAAAGGCAATGCTTTGCAGGTCTCATTCAAAGTGTGTTTTCCGGCTTTGCGTAGATGATTATATTTAGGTGTAAAAGTATGCCACTCATTAGTTCATTGCAAAGCTGCTGATAAGCTAATGTAAAAACTCACTACGTGTAAAAACAAAACAAGAACATGAAAAAGAAAGGTAAGAAGGAAGGAAGGAAGGAAGGAAGGAAGGA